AAAGTGACAATGAGCTAAAAACGAAGAAATATGAATAAAGGATGGACTCTGGTTAATAAAAATGTGTCACTTGGCTCGTGAATTGTAACAAACGCGCCACACGGGAGTAAGATGTGAGGCCCTGGGTGCAGGGGGTGCGGGAACTCTGCGTACTATCCTTGCAACTTTTCCGTAAATCTAAAACTGTCCTAAAATTAAAAGATTAGAGAAGGAAGAAAGGGAGGGAAGAAAAAGAAAGAAAAACGTAGAAAGATACGTTTAACTTGGGAGAGCACAGACTAGTCCATATCTTCGTCTTTTTTAAAGCACAAAAAAAATGAAGCCCGTTCCCACGCGCCCACAAACTCTTCCTGGATGGGCGGCGACCTCGGCTTTTCGCACTAATTTGCCTGAGTTCGAATGTTCCGCCTTCGCAGTCAGACGTAACGCGTTCTTCTTTCAATAAATACGTGTCTGCGTCCCGGAGTTTCCTTCAGACCTTCTACATGGCAGGGGCCATCCCTCGTGGGGACAGGGGCTCTGAGGAGACCAGTCCAAAGCGGCCAAGTGCTGCGGTCACAGTGAGGGAGCAACAGCTGTGGGGCCCTTCGTGCCCCCAGGGCGCCCCTGGTTCTTTACCAGCCCTACGAAGCGGACGGGAAGTCTGAGGACTGGCCCCTCCTGTCCTGCTGGGGGGACGCGGCCCCCAGGGCCTCCTCTCCAGGGCAGTTTCAGTCCTGCTGCCTTGGGCTCTGCCTTCCTCGGCGGGGGCCAGCTGGTCCGCAATGACCGGTCCCCTTGTCCTCACCGGCCAGCAGCAGCGCGCCTGGCCTGGGCAGACAGAGATGAAGCAAGGAGGGCTGTGGACTAGCGGTCAAGCCGAAATGCTGCGGCCCCTGGGTGGCGGCCAGGCTGACGCGGAGCCGTGTCCGGGGCCCTGCTCCCCACGCTGGCGACAGCACTGGATGGGACCCAGGGCAGGATCCCAGGGTCTTGGGATCCCAGAGCGCCCCCCACCCCTACCCCAGGAAGCACAGGCTGCGTTTCTAGAAAGGACAGGGCAGGGGCAAAGGGTGGGTGTGATGCTGGGGCAGTCGCGGCTGGGGGAGGGGCAGGTGGCCCGGACAGGGCGGGACCAGTGCGCTGGTCACTGCTGAGGCTTCACCTTGGGACGGCTGAGTCACCCCCTCCCCTGGGAGCGGGGGCCCAGACGTCCAGCTTCATGTCGACCTCTACTCTGGGGAGACCGTGTCACGGGAAGAGGAGGCACGTGGTGCCGGAATCCTTATGGCTGGGTCGGCGCCTCAGAGTCCTGGACGGCCAGCTCCACGTCCACGCAGATGGAGGCGGGGCACCTGCGCTCAGCCGAGTCGCAGAAACGGCCCGTGTCCATCAGCGGATGAGTGGACAGACACAATGAGGTCTGCACACGAAACAGAGCCTCGGCCTTAGAAACGAAGGACGTTCGACAGAGTGGGTGAGGAACCCCGAGGACACCGTGTTCAGTGAAATAACCCAGGCACTTAAATTCTCTATTGTTTTTCTTTTGATACCTGTGGCTTTGGTGTAAAATCCCAGAAATCATCGCCAAACCCAGCGTCGTGACGCTTTTGGCCCGTGTTGTCTTCCCAGAGTTTTGTTGTTTTAGATCTCACGTTTAAGTCCTGGATCCCTTCTGAGCTGATCTTTGCGTACGGTGCTAGGTAAGGGTCCAGCTTCTTTCTCCCCGTTTTCCCAGCCCCGTTTGATGAGAAGCCCCTGTCGAGTGGTCTCGGCTCCCTTGTCCACATCATCTGACCGCACGTGGGAGGGCGTATCTTTGGCGCCTCGTCCCTTCCATGGTCTCTGTGTCTGCCTTTATGCCAGGACCACACTGTTTTAATGACCGTAGCTTCGTAGTAAGTTTTTAAATCAGGAAGCGTGAGTCTTCCCGTTTTTAATTCCTTATTTCAAGATCGTTTTGGCTCTTTGGGGTCCCTTGAGATTCCATGTGAATTTCAGGATGGGCTTTTCTGTTTCTGCAAAAAAAAGTCATCAGGATTCGGACAGGATTGCATCGAGTCTGCAGATTGCTTGGGTAGTAATGGTGACACCAACTCTTCCCACCCACAAACACTGTGTGTCTCACTGCGGTGTGTCTTCTGAAAGTTCTCTCTCAGCAGGGATTTGTAGTTTTCATTGTGTAAGTCCTTACCCCTTTGGTTAATGCCTAATTAATTATTTCTGGTGCTATTGTAAGGACACATTTTATGTTATGTATATTTTACCACAATTTTTAAAAAAAAATCTTTTTTAAAACAGTGTGGTCCTGGCATAAAGGCAGACACAGAGACCATGGAAGGGACGAGGCGCCAGGGAGGGAGACAGACGAGGGACACAGGGGTGGCACCTGCATATACTGTGATGCTGTGTCAGGCAGGAGAGGCCCAGTGACGCCGTGTAACAAGTGACCAGCGTCATGGACTCACAGCAGCAGGGAAGGGCTCCTGTCTTATTCACGCTGTGCATCCATCCAGCTGGCTCTGCTGGCCCCTCAGGCCTCCGGGCTGACGGCAAAGCCTACGCCTGCAACGCTGTGGCCCCAGAGCAGAGGGAAGAGAGAGCAGGGCCACCCCACGCTGCTCGTGACTCCGATTTCATTACCTAAACCACGTCCCATTGCAACACTGGCTGTGCACCGGGGTGGCCCCCCCATAGGGCACCCCTCGTAGGGGGCCCGGCAGGGAACTGAGAGGGGAGCTTCCCAGAGGGACAGCTGGATGGCTGGTTGTTGGGGGATGAGGCTGCAGGGCAGCACCATTGTTGGGGACACTGGGGGGGCTCTGTGTGCAGCAGGTGACCCCCCAGCATCAGTGGCTCATGTGCTTCTCAGAGGAGAACACCCCGTGGGGAGGCTTCTGGGGCTCTGGGGGGGCTTCTAACCAGAGAGGATCCTGGAGGCCGGTCTGTCACCAGACAGCAGCCTCTCCAGTGTGAGTTCTCACACTCTCTCCTTCAAACAGTCTGTCCACAACTAAAACACTGGCCACTTGGGATGAGAGGGCCTTGAACTTGAAATTGCATCCAATAAAACACAGTGTCCACCTCTCTCCCAGGGACGGGGAGTGTGGGTTGGAACGGCTGCTGGTCATGCTCTGGGCGTGTGGTCAGGCCCCCTGGCCCTGCAGGTCAGCGGTTCCGGCCTCCTGCTCCCGAGTCCACTCCTCACTCCGCCTCACCATCGGGACACCCGGTCGCCCCAGCGAAGGGGAGCCTTTCAGAGGTACCCAGACCCCAGTATCTGAGACTCTTCTCCACGGAGGCACCCCTTCTGGAAGCTTCCACTGACTGGTGTTTATGACAGTCAGCCTTTGAGGTTTCAGCTTCCTGTGCGTTCGCTCTGCCGGGCCCGTGGCTGCAGACTTTGCTGTTTCATGATTTGAGGTTCCCGTAGTCTGGGGGTTAATCCCTTGTGCCCGTCCTGACTGTGGACTGTCAACTATCAACGCGGTTTCCCTTTCCCTTCGTGGGCGTGGGCGAAACGCTTTGATTTGAGCTGATTCATACTTCCAAGTCACGGTGGGTGGCCCCAGCGGCTCTCTTCTCCCAAGCCCCCTCTCCTTTTTCAAAGCTGGGCATTGGGGCGCATGCACCCCATGCTCAGGGCTCCCAGGACAGGTACAACTTTCATGGGGGGGGGTGGCGGGCCAGAGATGACGTCCTCACAAGGGTCGAGGGCGGTCACGGCAGGGAAGCCTCTTTGGGGCGGATGCGCCCGCGGCCAGCAGGCCACGGGCCGGGTGCCACGCCCTAGGACAGGCTGGGCCCGGAGGCCCCCACGGCACCCCATAGCAGACAGCCCACACTCCTTCACTGAGTGGGCAGAGGTCGGGTTGGGCAGCTGGCTGCCATCCCCAGAGCGCCACAAAAAAAGGCCTGTGTCTTTTGTCCTGCAGAAATCTTGTTAACCCACAGGCGGGTGGGGGGGCTGCCCCGTGACCCCCACCCCGCCCCCGCGTGCAGGGTGTGTGTGGAGGGGCCTCGTGAGTCTTCACCTCCATGGGTAGGTCTGTTTGGGGGGCACAGACCCACACAGTAACAGCCCCAGCAGCCGCAAGACCAGGAAGGGCGGCACCAGGTTAAGGCCAGGCAGTGTGGCCGCACCCGACAGCCACCTTCCTCCTCGCCCCGGCCGTCAAATCGACTTGGCACCCGGTCCAGTCTATTGTTCCCTGGGTCCACTCAGTGCCAGAGACTTTTAGTCCGGACTGAAAGTTTAACACTGCCCAGGACCGAAGGGAATTCCAGGGTCCCCGTGAGCGAGGGTGGAGGCCTGTGCTTGGCACCGTCCACTTTCTGGGCAGGCCCTTCGTAACCCCGCTCCAGTCACGTGTCCTTGGGGCCCCTCGCCACCTCCCCATGCAGTTAGAGGTGGAGCGAGAACGCACAACCATCCCCGCTGAGATTCGCTTCCACCCGCTTCGATAACTCCTTTCAGGTTCTCCAAGTCCTTGTCCTGCACCCCCCTCCCCCGTCTAGTTAGAAATCTTACTCCCTGACCTGCGAAAACACAAAGTTCCAAAACTCTAAGAGCTGTGGAAGACCCCCATCTGCCACCAGATGCATGGACCATGAAGCAAGGTCAGAAACAAGGTCCAGCTGTGGAGAACAAGCTGTTGAGGAGGGTGGCACTTGTCACACCGACCGCACCAGCACCTGCCAGCCTGCGAGTCCCAGAGTCCCAGAGCACAGCAGTTCCAGTCGCCTTTGCCTTCCACTCGCAGAGGCAAGCAGCCTGCAACCCCTCCGCCACCCCGAAGCCCCACGTGCTTCACCGGGCCTCATCGCATGCCAACGCTAGGTACCCGAGACGCAACTCCCAGGTCCCAGCCTGAGGGACTCCCAGAGTGCCCAGCTGCTCACTGGGGCTCCTCGCTCCTGAAGCGAGCTCTTCGCCCCAGTCGCTGCGCCACCTGCCCCGGGGATGCCTCAGGCACAAGCCCCCCACCCCCACCCCGCACCCCACAACAGCCACCTGCGCGTTCACTGCGGCACTTTTTATTTTCCTCACAATGTGTTGCTGGGGCCTGACGGTCTCACATGACAGTAAAAAAAAAACAAAATTTGTCATCTCCAAGAATTGGGTACAAAAACCTTACATAAATTAAAAGGATGAGTAAATTTACATGTGTGAATGCAAACTGTTTTCCAACTCAAGGCAAGTAAACCCCCAGGGTGTCCGGCGGGAAAACGTCAGCTAAGGAAGGAGAGCAGGTCCCAATGCCCTCAGACCGGCAGGACAGAAATGACAACTGGTTCAGGACTCGCCAGCCTCTACAGAAATCCTGGAACCGGGCGGCTCTGCACGCTAACACCCTGCACCGGTCAAACGCGGGGTCTCAGATCCTCATCCAGCCGCTCGCTTCAGCCGAGTGACCGAGCCGCGTGTGCTAGGGTTTAAATCAAAGACATGTACAGGGCATTAAACGTGTACCAAAGGAACAGTTAAACTTGATACAAGGTCAAAATCAGCAACCAGGCCTACAATCCAGTGCTGATATCAGATACAAGCTTCAAGGACAAATTTCTTTTCAAAGGCTTATTCCAGTTTCATGAGGCTAGCACGAGGTGTGTACGTTTGCCAGGGCAAATTTTATGCTTGTGATGAACTCATGCAGCAGATGCGTAGCATCTGCCTGCAGTCCGTTTAGAAGCATTTGCGGTGCACGATGGAGGGGCCGGACTCGTCGTACTCCTGTTTGCTGATCCACATCTGCTGGAAGGTGGACAGCGAGGCCAGGATGGAGCCGCCGATCCACACCGAGTACTTGCGCTCTGGCGGAGCGATGATCTGCAAAGGCAAGAGCGTGGCTTTAGCTCCAGGCACCGCCTGCCCGGCAAGGCCTCCCGGGCCACGCCCACGGCCACACTGAACCCACCTTGATCTTCATCGTGCTCGGGGCCAGCGCCGTGATCTCCTTCTGCATCCTGTCGGCGATGCCGGGGTACATGGTGGTGCCCCCAGACAGCACCGTGTTGGCGTACAGGTCCTTCCGGATGTCGACGTCACACTTCATGATGGAGTTGAAGGTGGTCTCGTGAATGCCAGAGGACTCCATACCTAGGAGACAAAGCTGTCCTGTCAGCACCGTGCCTCCCTCTCCAGGTGAAGGGCAGCGCAGCCCTCGCAAGCCTCACCGGGAGTCAACACCTACCCAGGAAGGAGGGCTGGAACAGAGCCTCCGGACACCGGAAGCGCTCGTTGCCGATGGTGATCACCTGCCCGTCGGGCAGCTCGTAGCTCTTCTCCAGGGAGGACGAAGACGCAGCGGTGGCCATCTCCTGCTCGAAGTCCAGGGCAACGTAGCACAGCTTCTCCTTGATGTCACGCACGATCTCCCGCTCGGCCGTGGTGGTGAAGCTGTAGCCCCGCTCCGTGAGGATCTTCATGAGGTAGTCCGTCAGGTCCCGGCCGGCCAGGTCCAGACGCAGAATGGCGTGGGGGAGGGCGTAGCCCTCGTAGATGGGCACAGTGTGGGTGACCCCATCCCCAGAGTCCATGACAATACCAGTGGTACGGCCAGAGGCGTACAGGGACAGCACGGCCTGGATGGCCACGTACATGGCTGGGGTGTTGAAGGTCTCGAACATGATCTGGACAAGAGACAACAGACTCCTTAGCCAAAAGCCAGGGCCCTGGCCCACCCCATGCTCACACGCTGCATGCCGGCATGCCACAAATGTGATGTGTGGAGAAAGGAAAAAGCAGCAAGCAAACACAAACAAGAAACCTTGAGACTTCAGGGAGGAAATGCCAGGAGAGGAACAGAACCCTGGAAATAGTGAAAGAAATCCTTGAATTTCAGAAAACGCAGCTCGACAGAAAATGACTTGTGAACGGACAGGATGGAGTCGCAAGGCAGCGCCTACCTGAGTCATCTTCTCACGGTTGGCCTTGGGGTTCAGGGGCGCCTCGGTCAGCAGCACGGGGTGCTCCTCAGGGGCCACACGCAGCTCGTTGTAGAAAGTGTGGTGCCAGATCTTCTCCATGTCATCCCAGTTGGTGACAATGCCGTGCTCGATGGGGTACTTGAGAGTCAGGATGCCACGCTTGCTCTGGGCCTCGTCGCCCACGTAGCTGTCCTTCTGCCCCATGCCCACCATGACGCCTTGGTGTCGGGGGCGCCCGACGATGGAGGGGAACACGGCCCGGGGGGCGTCGTCCCCAGCAAAGCCAGCTTTGCACATGCCAGAGCCATTATCGATGACGAGCGCGGCGATTTCTTCTTCCATGGCGATCTGCGTGAAGATGCGACCGGCTCAGGCGGGCGCTCCGCCCCGGAACGACGTCCGCGCCAAG